GGGTTAGAATCTTGGCTTATCGAATGGCTGATTACAGTTCTTTTTCTAAAATGGCCTTCCTGCTGTCAGTCGGGTCCTTCAATTCCAGTTCCAGATCAGCCTCAGCTATAGGGAGACCTTGCCTAAATAAAACAAAACGAAAAAGAAAGAAAGAAAACTAAAAAAGAAAAAACCCAAACAAAGCAAGTTCAAAGCTAGCCTGAGCTATGAGAGACCCTGTCTATAAACAAACAAAGGCTTTCATGCCCAGGTTCCTAGGGCTGTTCATACCCCAGGACGGGTCACTGTGCACATGGGTGTTCCGTGGACAGACTCCTCTGCTCCCACAGACTATGGGTTAGGAACAGCCAGGCTGAGGGTCTGAGGAGGCCAAGGCCTGGGTCACCTGAGATGCTGAACAGAGCTAGGAGCATTGCACCGTCAGGAGCTGTGTAGAGGACCATCATGTCATTGCTAAGCAGTGAGGCTGGGGATGGGGACATGGGGGAGGATGGGGCGAGGGGAGGGGAGCATGGAGAGGAAGCACAGGACTCAAAGGCCTGAATCAGAGGTGATGTACAGCCTGACATGATGCACACACCAGTCAGGATGTCAGCCCCACATCCTGGCATTAGAGAAGCCAAGACAGGAGGATTGTGAGTTTGAAAAGAGTGGAATCTGGAAAACAGAGTGGAATCCTAAGAAAAAAAAAAAACAACAAGAAAACCCCACAAAACTCATGCAGTGAGTGCCCTGCAAGACCTCCTGCATCTTATAGGGTGCAGAGGGACAGGCTAACTCACAGTGACCACGGTTGATGTCCACTTCAGCCTTGGGGAGGGCAAGAGAGATAGAGAAAAAGAGAGAAAGGGAGATAGAGAGATACAGAGACAGAGGCATAAAGACAGAGATAGAGATAGAAGAGAGAAGGAAAAAAAGGAGAGATACAGAAGTAGAAAATGTGAGGTAGAGACAGGAGAGACCAAGATCCCAGGACAGTAAGTGGAGGGCTCCATCTTCACAGTAGCTCTGAGGCTGGAGAGCCAGCTTAGTGGTTAAGAGCACTGGCTACTCTTGCAGAGGACTGGGGTTTGGTTTCCACCAATTCACTATGTAGACCAGGCTGGCCTTGAACTCACAGAAATCCACCTGCTTCTGCCTCCCAAGTGCTGGGATTAAAGGCATGCGCCCAGCTAAAATATTTTTTATAAAAAAGAATCCCAGGCCGGGCGTGGTGGCACCCGCCTTTAATCCCTGGGGCTGGAGAAACAGCTCAGCCATTGAAAGTAGAGGACCAGGGTTTGAAACCCAGCACCCACATGGCCGCTAACTGTCCATAAACTCCAGTTCCAGGAGAATCCAAAGTCCTCTTCTCACCTCCAAGGGCATTGCATGACACGGTGCACTTACATACATGCAAGCATATATGTACTCATATACATCTTATGTAGCCCAGTCGCCTCAAATTTACAAAGCAGCTGAGGCTAACCTGGATAATACAATCCTCCAGCCTCAGTCTGCAGAGTGGTGGGATGACCTGTGCGCCTAACCATGCCTGGATCCCCTTGGGTTTTTTTGTTTTGTTTCTCTAACATTTTATTATTTGTGTTTTATGTGTATGAGCGTATTGTCTGCATGTATTTGAGTGCACCCATGTCATGCAATGCCTCAGAGGTCAGAAGAGGGCTTTGGAATCCCCAGGAACTGGAGTTAAGGACGGTTTGTAGCCACCATCTGGGTGCTGGGAATCAAACCCCGGTCCTCTGACAGTCAGTGCTCTTAACCGCTGAGCCATCTCTCCAGCCTCCTTTTTTTTTTTTGGTCTTTTTGAGACAGAGTCTCCCTGTAGCCCCACCTGTCCTGGAACTCACTAGGTAGACCAGGCTGGCCTTGAACTCACAGATCCGACTGCCTCTGCCTCCCAGGAGTGCTGGGATTAAAGGCGTGTGCCACCACAGCCGGCAGCCTTGTTTAATTCGCTAAACCTGACTACCCTAGAAGCTAGTTTTGTGAGGCCCAGTGGCCAGGATAAAGACAGGGTCATGCAGGGTAAGGGAAGACACTAGAAAACAGGGCTTTGGCAAGGTGGGGGTGTGAGGGGGGAGTCAATCTGGCTCTGTTGTGTAAACAAAGGCACAGGCTTCCGGGCAGGGCAGCAATTTCACAGGGCTTGGATTTGCAAGGGGGGGAGGAATTCCGCACTCAGCCTGAGTTGTTTGTTTATGACCCTGAAGGGCCTTTGATGCCAGCTGGCAGCTCCTCCACCCTGGGCCTCATTCTGCATGTAGCTTCCACTACCCCTTGTGATTCTGGAACCTGGCAGGGCCCCTCGGTCAGGGCTTTGGGGTGTGCTCTGGGCTGTTCTGGGCTTCACAAGCGCAGCTGCAGCTGTCTCTAAGTGGGTCGCATGGTCAACAGCATTTACCAGTGAGTCCCTGCTGCTCTGATGCTGTGTTCTGATCACGGCTGCCTGTAACCCACCCCTGCCATGGCTGTGTGCTTCCTTAACCTTCCTGGCACTGAGCTGGGCATGCCTGTAATCCTAGCTGAGGCAGGCGAAGCCCAAGGGCAGAGGCAGGTGGAGCTATCCACCAGCCTGGTCTCCATAGTATATCCAGGCCAGCTGTGGCTACAGGGAGACCCTGTCTCAAAAAGACCAAACCAAACATTCTTGCACTGTGTGCTGAGTCAGGTGCCAAAACTCTGGTTACTCCCATCTCCACTTTTATTTTGGTCCTGGGACTGGGTCTTTTCATGTTGCCCAAATAACCAACTGATAATTTTTTTTGAGATAGGGGTCTCCCAATAGTCCCAGGAGTGCTGAGATTAAAGGTGGGTGCTACCACACCCAGTTTTTTGTAATTGTTGTTTGAAATAGGGTCTCCTTGGAGCCCCAGGTGGCCTGGAACTCACTATATGCACAAGGCTGGCCTCAAACTCACAGAGATCCACTTGCCTCTGCCTCCTGAGTGGTGGAACTAAAGGTGTGGACAACCACACCTAGCATCCAACTGATCTTGAACCCTGGTCCTGAATAGATCCTCCAGCCTCAGAACTCAGCGTCTGAATCAGCGGAGAACCACTTCATTTTATTTCATATTTTGTTCTTGAAAACAGGTTTAAGTAGCCCACGCTACCCTCAAAGTAATAGCTAAGGATCACCCTGAACTCCTGATCTTCTTGCCTCTACCTCCCAAGTGCTGGGAGGATGAATTTGTACCATCACACCTGGCATTTTTTTTTTTTTTTTTTTGTCTTTTTGAGACGGGGTCTCCCTGTAGCCCCAGCTGTCCTGGAACTCACTATGTAGACCCGGCTGACCTTGAACTCACAGAGATCCCCTGCCCCTGCCTCCCGAGTGCTGGGATTAAAGGTGTGCGCCACCATGCCCAGCCACCTGGCTCTTTAAAAAATATATATTATTTCTATTTTATGTGTATGAGTGTTTTGTGTTCATATAAGTACTCTGTGTGTGTAATGCCTATGGAATCCAGAAGAAAGCATTGGATCTACAGGAGTTGAGTACAGTTGTTATGAGTTGGAGAGATGGCTCTTCGGTTAAGAGCACTGACTGCTCTTGCAGAGGACCCGGGTTCGATTCCCAGCACTCACATGGCAGCTACAAACCATCCTTAAGACCTCTGCAGCATTGCACAACACGGGTGCACTCACATACATGCAGGCAATACACTCATACACATAAAATAATAAAAATAATAAATTAAAAAAAAATTTATTTTTATGTGTATGCACGTATTGCCTGCATGTAGGTAAGTGCACTGGTGTCTTGCAAAGCCCGAGGAGGACAGAAGAGGCTGTCCGGATCCCCTGGAACTGGAGTTAACAGACAGTTGTGGGTGCTGGGATTCAAACCCGGGTCTTCTGCAAGAACAGTCAGTGTTCTTAACCGCTGAGCCATCTCTCCAGCCCCATAAATAAAATATTAAAAAAAAAAAAGAACAGTTGTTAGCCACCATGTGCTACTGGGAATTGAACTTGGGTCCTCTGCAAGAGCAGCCAATACTTTTAACGGCTGAGCCAGCTCTCCAGCTCCTCATTTTTTAAAAAAAATTGTGATCATGCCGGGCATGGTGGCACACACCTTTAATCCCAGCACTTGGGAGGCAGAGGCAGGGGGATCTCTGAGTTCAAGGCCAGCCTGGTCCACATAGTGAGTTCCAGGACAGCTGGGGGTACAGGGAGACCCTGTCTCAAAAAGACAAAAAAAAAAAAAAATTGTGATAAAACGTACATAATACAGAATAAGCTCTGATTGGAGATGTCTCTGTAGTAGCAGATAAAACTGCTTGCTGCACTTTCCAGAGGACCACAGTTTGGTTCCCAGCATCCAGGGTAGGCAGCTCTAGAGCTCTAGGGGATCCAACACCCTCTTTTGATCTTCACAGGCAACTGCACACACTGCACATACCCACGCGCGCGCGCACACACACACACACACACACATAAACACTTAATTAAAATTAAAAATAAATGTTAAAATAAGCCATGTAAGCGCACGCCTTTAATCCCAGTACTCAGGACGCAGACTCAGGTGGATCTCTGTGAGATCGAGGCCAGCCTGGGCTACATAGCCATCTGGGGCTACAGGGAGAAACTGTCTCAAAATAAAAAAAAAAAACACAAAAAGATATATTAAAAAAAAAAGGAGTGGGCACAAGATGGCTCAGCGTGGTAATGCACTTGCAGCCAAGCCTGACAACTGAGTTCGATCCGGGACCCTCATGGTGGAAGGAGAGGACGAGTCCTACGAGAGTTGTCCTGTGACCTCCACACGCGTGTCCCCTCCAGACACGCAAATAAATGTCATCTATAAAAAAAGAAGCAAGGATGGACCGTCAGGTTCCAACCCTCACCCCCTCACCCCCTCCATCCCACCCCCGCTTCCATCGCGGGAGTCCGACGGCGAGTGCGTGCGCGCGCGTGCGCATTTGGAGGCGTCCTGCGTGCCCGGAGAGCTCACCCCGCCCCTCCCCGCGACGCTGCGTACGTGCGTGCGTGGGTGCGCGCGCGCGTGCTCGGCTCCGCCCTCCCCTCCTTCTTATAGCGGAGCTGCGGGGCCGCGCGGACGCCTGGACGGTTGGACGAGGTGACATGGCGGCCGCGCTCCTGCTGGCGCTGGGCTTCGCGCTGCTGGGAGGCCACGGCGCCTGCGCGGCGGGTGAGCGCGGGGCGGGGGCGGCGGGGAGGTGACCTGGGGCCAAGTCGAGGTCACCCCAGCATAGGGGAGCCCGGCGCGGGGAGCAGGGGTGGGATATGACCCTAGGGACTAGGGGGACGGCGGTGTCGGGGTGACCTCAGCTCTTGGAGGCCCAGCATGGGGAACTGGGCTGAGATGTGACCCTGGGGATTGGGGGTATAACGGTGTCTGAGGGTGGCTTTGGGAGACCGAGCGTGTAGAACGGGGCTGGGTTGTGATCTTGGGGACTGGGGGAATGGAGATGTTGAGGTGACTCCAGCTTTGGGAGCCGACGTGGGGAACAGGACTGGGATGTGATCCTGGGGATTGGGGGTATAACCGTGTCTGGAATCGCTCCAACTTTGGGGATCCAACATGGAGAACAGAACAGGATTGGGAGGTGACCCAGGCGATTTGGGGGTACAACAATGTCTGGGGTGACCTCAGATATTGGGGACAGGGACAGGAGGGAGTCACCACTTTCGGGTGTCTTGAGAGTGACCTCAGCTTTGGGGGACCTCAGGTAGGATGGAGTGGCCTTCTTGGGGGTCCCCTGGGATGTTTGGGGGCACAAAAGTAGCTGAGAGCTATGTCTCTAAGATTTGGGATTCTGTAGGTAGAGGGACCCACCACCTTGGTGTGACCCCCAGTGGGAGACACTTTAGGGATTTGGAGTGTCTGTGTAACCCCACGTTTGGGGAACCTGGAGTGAGGAACGGAACTGAGGTGCTTGTTGAGATTTGGGGCAACATCAGTGACTGAGATTGACCCCAGGTTGGGGGGACCTGGCTGTGGAGGGATCTGCCACCTTGGGGTGTCCCCATATGGGCATGGGCTGGGAAATGACACTGGGGGCCTAGGGGTACAGCGGTGTCTTGAGGTAACCTGGTTTAGGAACCTGGGAGCACAAGAGTGTAGGAGCTGCCACCTTGAGGGGTTCCCATGGGGGCGGTTTGGGGCTGGGAGGTGACCCTGGTAATGGGGGGCAACAGTGACTGGCAATCACTCCAGGTTTGGGAGGCCTGGGGGTGGAGAGAGCTGCGGTTTTGGTGGCCTCACTCTGGAAACAAGGCTTGGAAGTGACCCAAGGGATTATGGGGTACAGCAGTGTTTACGGTGACAACCCCCAGGTTTTAAGGACTTTGGGATGGAAGACTCTGCTCACCTGGGCCTCCCATCTGGGGGAGGTGCCTGGGAGGCAGCCTTGGGGACATGGGGCAACACTGCCTTAAGGGGGTATTGCCAAGGTTTGGGGTAGCTGGAGGTCTTGGTTGCAGGGAGCTGCTGCAATTTGGGGGTGTCTCTATATGGGGGACCAACTAACTTGATGTCCCCATCCCAGGGGATGGTGATGGGAGGTGACTGCAATTTGGTGGGGCACAGCTCTGCCTATGGGAGACATTACCCTGGTTTAAGGGACCTAGAAGAATGGAAGTAAATAACCGTGGAGTGGGGGGATAACACTGCTGGGGTGCTGTCCCTGAGGCTTGGGGAACCTGAATGGGAAAGGGAAGGGTAACCTTGGAGAGTTCCTGAGGGTGGCACTTGCCCTCTTTGAATTTGGGGGAGCCCTAATTAATTAGCTGTGTCCCTGATATTCCTGCCCTTATTGGAATGAGTGTCCAGGTTTCTCATGTCCATGGGGTTCTGCTTTGGGGCATCCCTGGGCCTTGACAGTGGCTACCTATCTTGGCCCCTAGTTAAGAAAGGTGATGGGGGCCCCTCTGGGCTGGGAGCTGGTTGGGTGCTTGTCCGACCAGGGAAGGCAAGTCAGGGCACCCCCACTCGGGGTACACTATGTGATTGGTCCTGGACCCACAGCCTCTAAGGACCTGGAAGGATTAACATTCCAGGGAGGATTTCTAGTGGCTACAACCCAGCATGCACCCCTGTCCTGCCATCTTGGAGTCTGCACACAATGACCTTGGATTTTTGCCTCATTGAGGCATAGAGGGGAAACTGAGGCCCCAGAGGGAGGGATCAGGTGTTCAAGGTCACAAGGTTCAGCTCAGGAGAGTTGGGAAGGGCCTAGCATACATTGGGTTCCCACCTGCAGGCTGGCCTGCCAGTCCCAGCCTGGCCTTTGTTTCTTGTGACTCTATGCTGAGTCTGGGTTAAAGATTTAGCTTCCCACAGGGAGCAGGCAGAGGGCAGAACCCTGTGATCCGGGACTTTGCTGGAGAAGGGGGCATGAGCCCAGCAGTGGTACCCTGTGTTAATCCTGACCCATTTTCCCAGTCCCTCTTCCTCACCATCCACAGGCCTCTTACTGAGCTCTCCTAGATCAGAGCCATGGTCCCCGTGAGTGCTGGGGCACCCCCCTAGCAAGGTGGACACAGCTGATAAGCTGTCCGCCGTCCTGCCCTGTACAGGGAGGGTGGCTGGAGGCTCCCACCCTGCCTGGGCACAGGTCCAGTGGCCTCTGGCCCGCTGTTAAGCAGACCTTTGCAGAGCCAGCATCTGGGCACAGTCTCATGGAACCTGTGCATGGCATGAGCTAGAGTGGGCCTGGGGCTCAGTGACCTGGTTTGTCTCTGACCAGGTCAGGACATTTCCTAGACACATTGGGTGTCTTCCTGAGTGGGTGCTGCAGTGCCCACCCAGGTCTGTCTGAACCCCAGTACATAAAGTGACAGGCTCACAGTGCAGTTCAGAGCTGGGTAGGGCGAGGCTGGGTGTGAGCCACCTTCAGAAGCTGAGCCCCCACCCTGTGCCCTGCAGTACTGGGTTGTTTACCCCTACAGACTGGCCTGGCCTGGTGCCTGCCCTGCTCTGAGTGGGCAGGGAGGAGGGCTGGATGGGCTTCTAATCACATGGCTAGGCTCCCAGCTAGAACTCTTGAAGGCCCTGAAGTTTGGGTTAGGGTTACTTGTCATCCCTAAGCTGTGCAAGATGGCATCTGCTCAGAGGGCTGTACCCTAAACCTATCTGGAGCCCTGTGTGGGAGGCTGTGGATGGCATGCCTGGGTGTTCTGGAGAGGGTGACACAGCCTTTGGAAGCTCAACAGGGACTAGGGCTGGGATGAGTGAGGGCCTGGGTCCTGGAGGCCACCAATCTCCCCTTAGTGAAACCCCTAGGTGAAGAGATGTTAACACTTAGCAAAGGACAAGAAGGAGGGGCCTGGCCTGCACCCTTTCCTGCCTTGTCACACCCATATGCCCCAAGCTGCAGGTTGGGCAATCTCTGCTGTGAAGGAATGTAGGTTACCAGGAAATCACTCTGTCAAAACTACCACTGTGTCCTGGGGCAGGGGATGAGACCCAGGTGGCAGATGTCACACTTGGGTCATCTGGAGCTTTGGGGCAGGCCTGTGTCTTAGTCCAGAACACAGCCTCAGGGCCTAACCCCTGGGCATGTCCTGCAGACCCAGCCTGTGCTCATGCCTGTGTGGAACACAGGCATGCGGGGACCTGCCAGCTGCTTCTACTGATGTGTTTGGGGCAGACGTGTCACTCTGAGAGTCCCGGGTCCCTCTATAATGCTAAGACCCTCTGTTTAGAACCCCTGGTAACCCTGCCCCAATGCTTTTGTTTTGTTTTGAGACAGAGTCTCACTGTATCTCTGGCTGGCCTGAAACTCCCAGAGATCTGCCTGCAGCCTCTGCTGGGATTCTGTGGGGGCGGGGGGCAGGGGGGATACCCAGTCCCAGCTTTTTATATTTATTTATTAATTTGGTGTGGGTGCACACATGCTCTGGGGCATGTGTGGAATTAGAGGACAACTCACAAGAGTCAGTTCACTCCTTCCACGTGTGTCCCAGAGATAGACCTTAGGACATCAGGCTTGGCAGCAAGTTCCTTTAGCCATTGAAGCATGTTGCCTGGCCCCTGGTGTTACTGTTTTTCCACTGTAACTTATCTCTACAAACAGAAGGGAGACCCAGGTCCCCACTCTGGTCCTGGGGGCAGTCATCCTGGTGAGTGGTTTCCTTCCTGCCTGCATTCCTCCCTCATAATAACAGGCACTAACCCTCTCCTCTAGCTGGCTTCATCAAGTCCCCACTGTCCCAAGACCAGTGGGCAGGGGGCAGTGTGGTCCTGCATTGTGAGGCCGTGGGCAGCCCCATCCCCGAGATCCAATGGTGGTTTGAAGGGCATGGTCCAGACGACACCAGCTCCCAGCTGTGGGATGGTGCCTGGCTGGACCAAGTCCACATCCACACCACCTACTGCCAGCATGTAGCCAGTTCGCTGACTGTGGATGGGCTCGCCACAGAGGACACAGGCACCTATGAGTGCCGGGCTAGCAATGACCCAGACCTCAACCACCTGACCCGGCTGCCCAGGGTCAAATGGGTCTATGCCCAGGCCAGCATGGTGGTCCTCGAATGTGAGTGGCCAGGACGCCTTCCTCTGTTTCCCTTTTGTGCTATCCAACCCCAACTCCCATTAGAATCAGATGCTGCTCTGCCCTGCCACCCGCTGAGGCCTGGTTAGGGATGGGGTGGGCTGGACTCTGGTGAGCATCACCCAGCCAGCCCTGCCCTCCTGTGAGTGGGTCCTTGGCCCTTGTCCTGACTGTCCGTCCTGCCTTGCTTTCTGCACCCTCAGTGGCCCTGCTGAGCATTGTGGCCCTGCAGAAACAGCCATCCTCCTGGCTTGCTGTCTTGTGTGTCTGATGGGGTTGGGGTCTGCTACCGGAGGGGTCTAGCCAGGTGACAGCCCCCCCCAATTCTCCAGGGATCAGCTTCCAGTTCTAAGTGGTGGTCAAACAGCAATTCCTGAAGACAGTATTGCCAGCTGACCACAAGGCTTTGCTGTGAGAACTGGGAGTCAGCACCCCCTTGGAGCTGGGTTCTAGTTGGTGCTAGCCAGTCCAGTAGGCTGGTTCCCAGGTCCTCACTGAAAGGTGGTGTGGGGCAGCCCTGTTTGCCTTCCCCTCAGATTTGAACAAGTGTGATGGTAGCAGGTGGCTGCAGAGGCCCTGGCCGTCCAGGTCCAGGACGGGCTGGGGGCTGAAACCTCCAGGCCCCTCTGACCCTCTCCCCGTGGCCTCTTAGCGGGCATCATTACAACCAGTGTGAGGGAGGATGGCGACAAGACTTACCTCACCTGCTCCCTGAATGGCAGCCATGGCAGCCACTTTGATGTCACTGGCCACCGCTGGCTGAAAGGGGACAAGCTACTAAAGGAGGATGAGCTGCCAGGCCAGGAGACGGAGTACATGTGAGTGAGGCCTCAGGAGGACGGGCCCTGTTCTGCCTCCCACACCCCATCACCCTTGGAAAGCTCAGGGCTCCTTTGTCTCCCAGAGCCACTTTACCATGCTGTGCCTTGCAGGGTGGACACAGTTGACCGCTCAGGTGCCTATTCCTGCGTCTTCCTCCCGGAGCCCATGGGCAGAGCTGATATCTCAGTGAATGGTGAGCTGCAGGGCTGGGGTGAGGATGAGTTGTGGGGCCAGGAGGGACTGGGAGGTAGTGAGCTGGGGCCAGGAAGTGAGTATGTGTATGGGCTAGAGCGGGTATCAGGGCTGCAGGTCTTTCGAGGGCTGGGCCATTAGTCTCCTTTCTCATCCTGTTCCCCCCATCCCCAACTCCCAGGGCCCCCAAAGATCAAGCCTGTGAAGAAGTCAGAGCATGCCAATGAGGGAGAGACTGCCATACTGGTCTGCAAGTCAGAGTCCCACCCTCCCATCACCCACTGGGTCTGGTTCAAGTTGTCTGACTCTGAGAACCAGGTGAGGGCTGTAGCTGGGACATGGGGCGTCAGGCACAGTGGAAGGCTGCAGCAGGGACCTGCATTGATGTGAGGCTCCATCCTCACAAGCCCCTGCCTCTCCCCAAGCCAATCGCCAATGGCTCACAGAGCAAGTTCATGGTGAGCTCTACTGAAGAGAAGTCTGAGCTGAGCATCAACAACCTGGACATGAACACCGATCCTGGCACCTATGTCTGCAACGCCACCAACTCTGAGGGCAGTGCCCAGGCTGAGATCACCCTGCGTGTGCGCAGCCGCCTGGCTGCCCTCTGGCCCTTCCTGGGCATCGTGGCTGAAGTCCTGGTTCTGATCACCATCATTTTTATCTATGAGAAGAGGCGGAAGCCAGACCAGGCCATGGATGGTGAGCTGGTTGCTGCTGGGCCTAGCAGGGGCTGTGCAGGGCCTGGGGCTGGATTTCAGGGTCAGACCTGGGACTCTACTCTGTGTAGACCACCGTGAAGAGGGGCCAAGCAAGCCAGACAGGCTACAGCTGGCTGTGGGGTGTACACCCCTGGGGTTAAAAGGGCCCCTGGCCTGCAGAGGCCCCCCCTGACACTTATCCTCTCTTCCCCCCTACCCACTACCCATCACAGAGGATGATCCTGGCTCCGCCCCACTGTAAGTCTAGTATATTGGGCTGTAGGGAGCATGCATACCCCATGTCTTCTGGATTGGGGTGGGTCAGTGATTGGGGGGCTCCTCCCAGCGGCTTGGGGGTGGGGGCTCCAGCCTCTGTGTGTGGTCCACTCTGATGGGAGTGCTGAGGGTACAGAAGAGTGGCCAGGCTCCAGGACTGGCTGTCCATGGGTGTGAGGCCAGCCTGTGCCTTTTGAGGGCTCAGCCTGGTTTTGTATCCCCAGGAAGAGCAGTGGGCATCACTTGAATGACAAGGACAAGAATGTGCGCCAGAGAAATGCCACCTGAGCAGCACGCAGCAGCAGGGCATCTGCCTCCATGCCTGCATCCCACCTGACCGGCCCAGCCCATCCCTCCCCATCCCCACCTCCTGTCACCTTCTGTCCTGAGTGCTGAGTGTGTGATAAGTGTGTGAAGACCCAGAGTTGCACCCTGAAGAAAGCCTGCCCAGCGGCCACAAGCTACCCACAGCCCCTGTGTTTCTAGTTTAAACTAAATGAGTGTTTCTACATAGAGAATCTATCTTCCCTTTAGGGGTTTTCTGTGTTTGTTGTTTTGTGTTTTAAGTTTTCACCAGAGTCCTGTGGAGTGGGGCCTTGGGGATGGTCCTGCCCTGGGGTCTCCCTGGCTGTGAAGGAGGCCCCACCCACCTGCATCTGTGTGGAACTGTCCCCCCTGCTGCGGGATATGTGGCTGGGTGATGGGACCCCACCTCCCACAATAAAGGTTCACCTGCCACATGTGTGTACCACCTGAGGCTTCACAGGGTGAGAACAGCCTGTAGGCTCCTAGCAAGCCATTGGAGTAGGGAATGCTTATGGGGTCACAGGCTGGGCAGGGGTGTGGCTCAGCAAGTGTGAGGTGCAGATGGAGCATGGGGAGGGGCTGGGTGGGCCTCAAAGGGGTGCCCCCCCCATGTCTTCTGGGTTGGGGTGGGTCCGGGTTTGGGGGCTTCTTTCAGGGCCTGGGGACTTGCAAGGCCCAGATGGTGGACAGGCAGGTCCAGGTCAAGATGGACTTAAGTCTTGAGACGGGGCAGAAGGAAGGTTCCAGCCCTGAGGGATAGGGGTTGGGACAGGCTGGTAGGGAGGGTTGGACTGGTGATGGTGGGGGTCACTAGGTCCTCCAGGGGACATAGGACATGGATCAAAGTGGTGAAGTCAGTAGTGCAGAGCTGGGGAGGCTGGCTGACCCTCCTCCAGTTCCCAGAACCACAGGAGTTGAAGTTATGAAGTAAAATGGTGAGGGGTCCAGAGAACCACTGCCCAGGCCTGAAGTCTGACTAACATACTGGCCGTTCCCTCCAGCTGCCACCAGAGGGTGCTATATCCACAGTTTCTGGGGACTGGGCCTAAGACTGGCTCAGGCTTCTGTCGCTCACACCCAACTGTAGCAGCTGAGATAGGGTCCCTCATCCCCCCCACACCACATCCTGACCCTAGCAGGACAGGACAGAGCATCTCCCAAGGCATGAAGATGTCCATCCAAGGCCTGTGAAGAGGGAGGTGGGTATTGTCCATTCCCAGCACTGCCTAGTTATACATCCAGGGTTCTGCTGTACCCCAATATCCCAGAGGAACTAGATGACCCCACCCTTCAAGTTACTGTCCAGCCAACTAGCACTTAATGAGCACTGGCTGCATGCAACCCAGTGCCCAGCACATGGTGACAGACGTGTGCCCCGTCCCTGAAGTCTGCCTCGGTTTCCCCAGAGGTGAAATGGATGCTCCACAGCTTGAGACAAAGTCATCTTCATCAAGCATATAGGACATTCTGGGAATGGCCTCCAGGGTCTTTTCTAGGAATTTCCTGGTACCACCCCCCAATGGGGGTGTAGCGCAGAGCCCCACAGCTTTTGGAAAAAAGTCATTGATGGGGTTGGACCCAACGTGGAGCTCAGCTGGCTGCTCCCTTCTGATCTTGGCAGGTGGGACTGTCATGCCCCCTGGCCCCTGTTGGACCTCATCTATCCAATCAGTCTATGAAAACAGTATGAAGAGGGATGGTGGGGCCAGACTACCCTTTTATGCTCCTGCCTGCCCCCACACCCGGTCTTGCCATCTTGCAACTGCCAGGGACACTGAAGCCCAGGTTGAGGACGTCGAGGCTCAGGAGGGCAGCAGATGGGAGGATCTAAGTCAAACCAGCCAGAGATGTGGGGCTCTCCCTATTCCCACCAAGGTCTTGGGGTGCTAGGGGAGGAACATCTCAGTGAACAGTAACATCAGAGCCCAGGTGGTGCAGCACACCTGTCATCCCAGCACTCAGGAAGTAGAGTCAGTTGCATCAGCAGTTCAAGGCCTGTCACACATAAACACATGCACCCCCACACAAGCCACATAAACAGCCCGGGGTCAGCATCAGCCTCCTGCCACCTGGACTGTGAACCAGCCACTCCTTTCTTGAACCTCAGCCTTCAGGCCAGGTAACTGCTGAGTGCCATTGGAACCAGCTTCCCCACTGGTCCTGACCCTGGCCTGACCTAGTTCTGTCCTCCTGGTTCTGATTTCCATTCAAAAGGCCCCCAGCATGAAATGATGGAGGGTTAGCCAAGTAAGGTCAAGGAAGGCTCTGGGGAGTAAAGGATTTGAAGTCATGAGATTCTGCCTGGTGCTGGAGAGGTGGCTCAGTCTGTAAATTGCCCATGAGAACCTGAGATTGATCCCCTAACACACTCCCCCCACCCCCCGCAAAAAATGCCAGGTGGGGCTGGAGAGATGGTGTAGAGGTTAAGAACACTGGCTGTTCTTGGAGAACACCTGGGTTTGAATTCCAACATCCACATGGCAGCTAACTATACATAACTCTAGTTCTGGGGGATCCAGCAGCCTCTTCTGTCCTCTGAAGATATTGCACAACACGGGTGCACCTACATACATGCAGGCAATAAACGCATACACATTGGGGCTGGAAAGATGGCTCAGCAGTTAAGAACACTGGCTGCTCTTGCAGAAGACCTGGGTTTGAATCCCAGCACCCACATGGTGGCTAACAACAATCAGTAACTCCAGTTCAGGGGATCCCACACCCTCCTCTGGCTCCACACATGTAGACATACACATACAGAGAGGCCAGAACAGATTGGCCTCAATCTCAGAGATCCACCTTCTTCTGCATCCCAAGTGCAGAAGGTATATACCACCACACCTGGCAGAGAAAATAAATCTAGGAGAAAAAAAAAATTGGACAACTCCCGAGAAATGACATACATGTTGACCTCTGGATGCCACACGTGTACATGCACCTACACACACAGATACACAGACGCACAGCCCCATCTGAGACCTCGGTCCCTGCTCCTGGCACTTAACATATACTGCATAAAAACTGGGGTAGGTGTCAGCACAGGTGTGGGAAGACCAGACAGTAATGGGCAGTTCCCACTCACTAGAGATACCTCATCCACAGTGGAGCGTCAGTACCCCCAAGTGCAGACATAGGCCAGGATCCCCCAGAGTTCCAGCATTCTTTGTGATCCCTGGGCTGGCAGAGCAGCATGGTGGCATGATGGGTCCCCAGGCAGCCAGCAGCCCAGATTCCTCCTCCCTGCGCTCAGTTGCAAGCCCCTGCTCTGGCGACCTGCCCAGCCTGACATCTTCCCAGGGTGAACATAAAAGATCTCCCTCATCTTGAACAAGCATCTATCTGCCCTGGGGTGGGCCACAGCTGGGCACAGCTGACTGCCAGAGGAGGCCGCAGGGGTATCTCCAGAGTCCCTCCAGGTGGAGGCAGTCCATCTGTGTCAGATGAGGACATGGGGAAGGCCAGGGCACACCCTTGTCACTACTGAACACCTGCCAGTGAACAGATAGTCACATTTCCATCCTTGAGACAAGCAACCAACATGGTTAGGCTAAAAAGACCATAAGGATCTAGGACCCACTCCGCTCATTTGACCTGGTGGACCCAGACAGGCCCAGGAGAACATGAGACCTAAAGGAGGCCCCAAGAACCAACCTCCTCCCTGGGAACTGTCTTCTACCAGTTCCCAGCCATCCCTCCCCTCACTGACCTCCTGTTATAACCCCCTCCCCACTCTGGTGAAGCTGGGTTTGGGGCTAGAACCAGGGTTAGTGTCATCACCTGGCTCAAGTCCAGTCACACCATTAGGTCCACCAGCCAGAAGCCCATGTTTCCCCAGAGGTGGGGCTGAGGGTGGAGGGCAGCCTGGGGCCTGAGTCAACAGGGACAGAGAAGTGCTTCCAGGAGGACCTGTAATGAGAGGGAAGGTGAACCTGGGTGCCCCTGGAGACCCCTGAAGGCCACTATTCCCGGGAGCCATCCTGTGTTGGAGGGCACTCCTTGGGGGTGAAGCCTGGAGGGGTGTTGAACTTGGGATCAGCATGTTGAACTTAGGGACCTCTAAATCCTTCAATACAAGCAGTAGAGCTCTAGCTGGGCATCTGGCCATCAGAACACTATTATGGAAATCTGGCACCTTGGGACAGGAAAGAGTCTGGTACCCACTGGAGCTGCTGTCTCCCAGAGGGAGGGGGCAGCGGCTGCCCAGCCCATGGTATCTTCCATGGGAGAGCCCCAACTGGGAAGAAGGGCAGCTCTCAGTGACACCAGTGACCTTGGGTGCATTTTCGGCTTCAGTTTTCCCATGGGAAAACGAGGCCTGCAGGCATTTCCAGGGTCTTCAGTGCATTTCCACGGTCTCCGTGGCTGCCTGACCTTGAACCTGCCTGCGGACCCCGGCCTCAGTTTCCCCTTGGGAACCAGGCCTGCGCACATCTCCAAGGTTGGGACGGGGGTTTGAGCCCACTCCCGGCTTCAAGCCTCAGTTTCCCCTCTGGGTGGAGGCCTGTGAGCAACTCCAAGGACTCTAGGCTGCCTGACCTTGAACCTGCCCGCCCCCGTCCCGCCCATGGCCTCAGTTCCTCCTCTGGGTCGAGGCTTGCGCTGATGTCCGCCGAGGTCTCCGGGGCTGACTGAAGTGAATCGGCCCCCCGCCAGCCCCGGCCTCAGTTTCCCTTCTGGGACGAAGCCTGCGCGCCAAATCCAAGGTCTCCGTGGCGGCCTGACCTTGAACCAGCCCTCAGTCCCGCACCTCAGTTTCACCCCTCCCCTTGTGCGTAGGGGTGCGCGCGCCAACCCGAGGTGCGGGTGGGGGTGGCGCAGGTGGAGGCGGGGCTCCCGCCCCCGTCCCTCCCCCACGCGCAGAGGCTCCGCCCCCTCGGCTCCGCCCTCCCTCGGGCTCAGCCGGCGGCGGCGGCGGCGGCTCCGCTCCGCACTGCCCGGCGCC